AAAGAGTGAAGTCCCTGTGCAGTGCAGCTTCTTGACAGATTTTCAGGCTGTAGGGGTTCTGTGGATAAGAATGGGAATAAAGTTCCTGCTGTTCAGTATGTGGGAGAATAACGTGCCCTCTGGAGGAGAGAGGCTTCTAAGACTTTCATACAGACTTCTTAAAAAAACGTTAAGTGGAAGAATTTAAATATTTTCACAGGATCTTTTTTTGGTTTATAATGTATGCTTTCCTGTCCCTTTTCCAAAGAACTATGGACCTGCTAACTTGTCAAATTGTAAATATTGGACTACATGTAACATTTTCATCTGAGGCTGAGGAGAAGGAAATCTTTATAAATGCTGCTTATTTTAGTGTAGACCTAATACTTTTCTCTTCCCTACTGCTGTTGTACTTACCTGGCTGTACTGGCCTCTGGGACCATTCAGGACACAAAGTCCTTCATCGCTTTTCATACAGATGGGAGTTGGTTAATCTGAGTGTTTTACCACTCTGATTATAAAAAAAAAAAAGTCTTACTTATATCTAGTCTAAATCTCTTTCAGTTTAAAATCATTAGCCCTTGTCCTATTACTACAGGCCCTGCTAAAAACTTTGTCCCCATCTTTCTCATAGGCCCCCTTTAAGGCTGCAATAAACTCTCCCTGACCCTTCTCTTCTCCAGGTAGAACAACCCCAACTCTCTCGGCCTGTTTTCCTAGGAGAGGCCCTTGGATCATTTCTGTGGCCCTCCTCTGGACCTGCTGCAACAGGCCCCTGTCTTTCCTGTACTGAGGACTCCAGAGCTGGACACTGCTCCAGGTGGAGCCTCACCAGAGTGGAGCAGAAGGGGAGAATGCCCTCCCTCAAGCTGCAGGTCACATTTCTTCTGATGCAGCCCAGAATACAGTTGGCTTTCTGGGCTGCAAGCACACGTTGCCTGTCCATGTCTGGTTTTTCATCCACCAGTACCTCCAACTCCTTCTTGGCAGGGCTGCTCTCAATCTCTTCATCCCCCAGCCTGTATTGATACCAGGGGATTGCTCTGACCCAGGTGCAGGACCTTGCACTTGGCCTTGTTGAACCTTGTGAGGTTCACGTGGACCCACCTCTCAAGCTTGTCCAGGTAGTTCTGGGTCACATCCCATCCCTCAGGTGTGTCAGCTGCACCACTCAT